GATCACAGTTATGTGGTTGAAAGTTGGCAACACTACCCCTAGGGTGTTCAACATTAGCCCGGAAGTGTGAAAAACGGGCATCGGAGGGCGTCGGAGGATATATAACTGGTCGCTGAAACAATTGCTGCCCTCCCACCCTTCTACGTCCTTCCTGGTGATGAAACAGAGGTACCTGCCAAAAATGAACGGAAACCGATGCAAAACGAATGCTCGGGGGCCAAAACACGCAGTTCGGGGTCCCGAAAACGGGCTGTTAAGCACCGAAAGTGGCATTCGGCCACGAAGTGGGTTTCTCCGATGCCAGTGTCCCTTGAAAGGGAGTAAATAAGATATATGCCAAAATTTAGAGCAAACGGAGATGGTTAGGCGGTCCCGAACCGAGGCACACGGCCAACGGTCCCGAAAAACCGGAAACCAGACTCCGAAATGGGCAAAATGGCCTGCGGCCACAAAATGTAGCCCACGGCCACTAAGAGACGGTCTACTGGACCTCTCCCTCCCCTCAGGAAAAGAAACAGAGAAAACCGAGTCTAGTTCGCAAACCGAGGCAAGGCACAGAAGAGGGTTCGGAAGTCCGGAGGCGGGGCTCGCAGCCGCGACTCTGAAACTTCTGAACGAGCACATTATGCAATATCACCAAGTGCTCAACTGGTGATGTCTGAGTCTCAAGGTCGGTCAAAAATGGGGTGTCTACAATCCCCGATTTTCAAACTTGGGGACTTGGTCTAAATACTCGGCGAGTCCAGCATTTTTCCCGACCTCGAATACTTTGGAAACCTCCGAGTCGACTGTTTCCTTCGCCGCCTTCATTTCAGCCAACTCAGCCTTCAGTTTGGAGACCGCCTTCTGGGCCAATTTGAGCGCATCTTCGCTCGCGTCTACGTCCGCCTGCTTCTCGGCATCCGATCTCAATTGATCCGCGCTACAAGCCCTCTCCACCTCGGCATCGGCCCTTGAGGCTTCCTTGTTCGCCCTCAAAGCTTCGACCTCGGCCCTTCTCTTCTGGCCCTCAACTTTCTTTCATAAACGACCAATCTGTTTGACAGCATCGCGATGGCGACGGCCCATATCGGTTATCCTTCCGATGGTCTGCAAAACAAGAATTTAAAACCATAACTTCAACAGTATTTGGATTAAGTGAAGCAAAGTCCAAAAATGTACCAAAAGTGCCGATTGGGCGGCTAGTGCTGTCGTATTCAGATCTGGTTCCATCCGGAAGGCCTCCCTGTCAGACAGCAACGACACGGACGTAGCCAAGCTGAATGCGACTTCTGGATCTTTAAGCGCCGAAGCATCAGAAGAAACCAACATGTTTTTTATCATTGGCTGAATGACAAAAGGAACAATCACATTCGATCCCTCTAATGGAGGACGTTTGCCGCCTTGTTCTTCTAAGTCGGCCTCAAACTCGGCAGGGCGTTTCTCTACCTCTTCCTCAACTTCTTGGCCGGCCTGCACGATCAAAGTAGATTCGGCATTTCGATTTTTTGCTGTCTTCACCTCAATAACGCGCAAGGACTCTGATTCGCTAACAGGCAGGGAGAGTTGAGATTCGGTGGCGGGTGGTACTTCAGACAGAAGGGCCTCCGCTCTTCGCCGCACGACCAACCTTTCCGCATTCGCCTTCCTGGCAAGTTTTGTCAGGCTTAACCCTGCCATGTCTTCGGGGCTTGCGGCGGGAAGATCCTCTAAGCCGTGAAAAACGCCGTCAAGTGAAAGATCCCCTCGGCCCGAAGTAGATGGAGGATCGGCCGAATTCAATACCTCGTCAGACTCGGTTTCGTACTGATCTGATTTAGTAACATTAGCTACATCCCGCTCCGAATCAGACCCTTCAAAACCAACTTGCCTCAAGTTTTTGAAGTCGGACAAAATAAGAGCGATAAGAGAATCTTCACCCTCCAGAACCGACATATTTTCCGCCGCCGAGAAGGTCGTATATGTCGGCTCGTAACGAAGCAGAACGTGTGCCGCCCTCCCTTGTTTCTGAAGACTTCGACGGCCGAAATACGTGAGCGCGACTTTGATATCCGAAAGAACGGCGTCGTTAGTCAAAAACAAGACTTTCTTCAAATCGTTCCCTGCACAAGCCAAGCCGCAACATTTCAAAGAAGAGGCTTTACAACAAAAATAAACAAATAATAAAAGCGAGAAGGCAATCAGCCACCTGGCTCGCCCCTCCGTCTAGGAATAGGGTTGACGTGATCCTCCCCTTCGCCAAATTCCCAGTTACCCTGGACAACGACCATAATATCATCAACTCGTTTCCCAGAACTGGAAAGCATAGTAATTAGCTGATGGTCGATATCCTTGGCCCTAAGGAAGAAACGCCCATGCCGACTAGAAGACTTAGCCAAGGCATAGCAATGCCGGATGGCTGGAATGCCAAGGTTAATTCTAAGGCGACGATTGAGCGCTATAACCCCCATTATAATTCTAAAGAAATTCACATTGAATTGGGAAGGGATTAAACCCCAATGGCGAAGCACAGCCCTAAGAAACGGGTGAAGGGAAAAACGGACTCCACCCTCTGCGATTGACAGAAGAGGAAAGACAATCGTGGTTTTGTCCTCCCTCTCCATATCAAGAGTGTCGTCTGCTACAAATGACATACGGACATCATCAGGAATGGAGAAATGACGTTTAAAGCCAACAATTCGATCTGACAAGAGAAGGTCTTTTAAATGTTTCGCCATACCCTACAGTTTATAAGAATATGACAAGGAAGGAATAAACCAGAAAGAGTCTTCGAAGCAAGGAATGAGAGAACTTACAAAGGACGAAGAGGATATCGGAGAAGAGAGTTGCAGGGACGATTCAAAAGGCAATCCAACGACGAGTGTCATAAAATACATACTCGAAAGGACGTCAAAATTTTAAATCGCAATAAATAGACACGTACGAGGAGGCGGGAAGTCGACACGACAACCGAAAGGGGTGCGCTAAGATATCCGCATGAGGATGAGGCCAACTGCCGAATTTTGGCTCTGACTTTTCAAAATTTGGAACCAAGCACTCTAGCCAAACTGTCGTTAGTAAAGTGCTTGGAGGGCAATTGTGGGAGCTGAATAAATAGAAGGGTCGGAAGGTGCGTACCCCAGAAATCAGATATTATTCAGCTCCATATTGCGTGACTAAGATGTCGAATACGTTAGGAAGGCCGAATAGCCGGAGATCAGTAGCTCCGAATGAATAAAAGGGAAATGGGATAAAAGTAGGCTCAGGCCACGAGGTCCAAAAAGCAAGTATAAATACAAGAACCACAGATTTAGAAAGGTATGCAAGAATCACTTCACTTAACTTAGTAAACAAGTTATCTTGAGTATCTGAACTGACTTGTCCGTCGGAGTGCTAATTCTGGCACCCTCGACCGGAGTGTTTGTATCTTTTCAGGTGACTAGCTGAGGATCACTAGCGACTCCCAAGATCTGAAGAGTATTTTCAAACCACTTCTCCACAACAAATAATAAAAAAAAAAAGAAAAGAAAGTAAAGAGAACACTATTATATATCACAAGATTAATTTATATAAATGTTTAAATCAACATATTTAAAAAATAAAGAAAAAATATGTTATATATATCTTTCCTTTTAAATATTAAAAGTATATTTCCTCTTATTATTTTGTAAATACCAAAAAAATTAAAAAAAATTATATATCACGAAATTAATTTATACATATTTAAAAAAAGAAAAAAAAAGAAAAAAAGAAGAGATGTTATAGATTTAAGAGGTCAATTTCATCGTTTAATTAGCTAATTCGGAGGTTGACTCAATCCATCCATTTTCATCTCACACCCCAATGGGATAGAATTATCCCACATATAGAGGACTATTAGTCCGACCTTGGTTTTTCTATCTAAACTTGAATTAATGAATGAAGCTATATGCACCAATTAGTACACTAATTAGTGTACTAACAAATGATGTGACATAATTTTATTAATTTTAAATCTATATAATTTATATAATGAGTGGGGTCCATAATTTTAAAATTATAATACTATAACATATGTTTGGTATACTAATTGATATATCAATTGATGCATGTAGCATCATTAATTAATTATTCCATACATACATATATATGGAATAATTTTTTTAATCATCCAGACACCGCCTAATAGAAAAATGCTTCCTACCCCCAGCTGGGGGTGACACCCAGTGAGGTGTCAGCTGGGAGTTGGTCCAGAAAAAACAGTTTTTCTTTTTTTTTTTTTTTTTTTTGATTTCCGACCAGTGGGGGCGCCACCCCCACTGGGTGTATGAAGCATTGTTGCCGCCTAATATTAATGAGTCTGGATAGTGGTGGTGATGGGGTGGTTGATAGAAGAATGAAAACTGTGCTTACCCTACAACGGGAAATGATAGAGAGCTCTAAATATAGAGCTCTAATTTGAGCTCTAATGATGTGTCAAAGTAAAAAAAAAAAATAATAAACAAACAAACAAAACAAGGCACAAACATCACATCAAGGTGGGACCCACCTTCCCGTTAGAACTATTAGAGCTCTAAAGCATTTTTGACCCTACAACATATGGTGGTGGTGAACAGAGAGACAGACAGAGACAATCAGAATTGCCTTTTGTTTTTTGTTTTCTTTCTTAATGCCTTGTTAGTGACTTCTCTCTGTGTTTTGTTATTGTTTATACAGATTGAGAAAGTAGTAGCATACATACTTCCATACATACATATATATATATATATATATATTAGTGGGTGGCACACACGATGTGTGTGCAATTTAAATAAGTAGGAATAAAAAAAAATAATAATGAAATTAATATTATAATGTTTACTTATCTTAAGTGGTATGAGTTCTCATACTCAAACCCATGGTCATGGGTTCAAGCCTTGCCACACCAAAGTTCCTGTTCACATCTCTTTGTTTAACTTTTTTTTAAAAAATAAAAAATATTACCACATGATATGAGAAGAGTAAAGTTTCAAGACACCAAAATTTCTGTTCACTTTATAATAGTATAGATAGAGAGGGAGAGAGAGAGCGCGCGCGCACATGGTGGCAACCGTCGACATTTAGAGAGACTGAAAAGGCAGTTATTAAATTGCCCCTCAACAACTCATCTCCTCCAGGCCTTTTCCTTTCTCTCTCTAAAACCCACTTTCTCTCTCTACATTTTGGACTTTCTTCTTCTTCTTCTTCTTCTTCCACTCTGAATCATACATTTTAGGGTTTTATATCTCTACAGTTACATACCCTTTTCCACCAATGCATTTGAATCTCTACAACTCTCAAATGTCACTCCACATTATCGAATTCGAACCCCATTCAATCCCAATTACAAACAACTTTCTCAATCCGATTCGGCAATGATAATGCTGGGTTTCGAGAATGAAAAGCTCTGCACATTCTCTCCCTTTTGTTCTCTTCTCGCTCTTCATGTTCCTTTTTCTCGATTTTCCGGCCGTTTCTCAGGTCACCGAGAAGGAAATCTTGCTCCAATTCAAATCCAACATTTCGATTGATCCATCCAACATTTTGAGCTCCTGGGATTCAAGCAAAAATCAATGTAGAGACTTCAATGGTGTTTTGTGTAATTCACAAGGAAATGTAGTGAAGATTGTGCTATGGAACACTAGCCTCGCCGGAGTTTTATCGCCGGTGTTATCTGGGCTCAAATCTCTCCGGAATCTTAATCTGTTTGGAAACCGATTCACCGGCAACATTCCATCGGAGTATAGACAGATTGAAACTCTCTGGAAGATCAATTTGAGTTCCAATGCTCTATCTGGTTCAATCCCGGGTTTTCTCGGCGATTTATCCAACATTCGGCTTCTAGATTTGTCGAAAAATAGGTATGGTGGAGAGATTCCATCTTCTCTGTTCAAGAATTGTAGCAAAACCAAGTTTGTTTCGCTTTCTCATAACAATCTCTCGGGTTCGATTCCATTGTCACTAACCAATTGCCTCAATCTTCTCGGGATCGATTTTTCTTTCAACAATCTCAGTGGTGGATTTCCTTCACAACTCTGTGAAATTCCAAGCTTAGCATACTTGTCATTGAGGAGCAATGTCCTAACAGGAAGTGTTCAAAACCCGATTTCTTCGTGCCGGAGTTTAGAGCTCTTGGATCTTGGCACCAATTTGTTCACTGGGTTAGCTCCATTTAGTGTTCTTGGATTCACAAATCTCACCTTTTTTAACATTTCAAGTAACGGGTTTGAAGGAGAGATTGTAGAGACTGAGATTTGCAGTAAGAAATTGCAAGTTTTTGATGTTTCGATGAATAGATTGAACGGGGAGATCCCATTGAGCATATCAAATTGCAATGCCATTAAATTCTTGGATTTGGGGTTTAACAGTCTGAATGGGAGTATTCCAATTGAGGTTGTGGGTTTGAAGAGGCTTTTGGTTTTTCGATTGGGGAATAATTCGGTTGATGGAACTGTTCCAGCAGGGTTTGGGAGCATTGAATTGCTTGAGGTTCTGGATTTGCATAATCTCAAACTGGTTGGCAACATTCCTGAAGAAATCAGCAATTGCAAGTTTCTTCTTCAGTTGTGAGTCCAATTTATTGCCTTTGCAATGTTCTATATCTACATTTCTATTTTAAGTTTTAATTTTATTTTTTATCCCTAAATTATTATCTTTTTTATTTTTATTTTTTATCTATATCATTTTTAAACTATTAATTTCATCTATTTAATTCCTAAAGTTTATAGTTTCAGCTAATGTGATTTGGTTGGAGATATTTGTCCAAATCAATAACAACTAAAGCATAATTTGATAGCAAAAAGCCATTTCAAAGTTTGAGCATCTTAAATTATGCAACCGAACATTTATTTTTTTAAATTAACTGTTTTGAAATAAGAGTAGAAAACAATATGAGTGTTTGGTTGAAGAGTGTAAGTTTTCTAATTCAGTGTGATTAAAAAGATGGGTGTTTGGTTTGATAATTTAGATTGTCTTAATTGTAAAATTACTTTTTTGCCTGTTAGGTTGAATTTTACCATAATTGATTTAGCCAGACTGTTTTTGATTGGATTATATGAACTGAAATCAGAAATTTAAAAAATAAAAAATAAAAAGACGAAGAAAAAATTGATAATATTTGGAATCAAACTTGAACACAATTTTAAAATGTTTCTGCAGGGATCTTTCTGGTAATGAATTACAAGGAGAAATACCACAAACACTTTACAACATGACATATCTTGAAATTCTTGATTTACATCGAAATCAACTCAATGGAAGCATCCCCTCAAGTCTTGGGAATTTGTCTCGAATCCAATTTCTTGATCTATCAGAAAATTCCTTATCTGGGTCAATCCCAAATTCACTCGAAAATTTGACAAATTTGACTCATTTTAATCTCTCCTACAACAACCTGTCTGGCCCTATTCCTTCCTCCATCCAGCATTTTGGTTTCTTCGCATTTTTTCATAATCCGGGCCTCTGTGGTGCCCCTTTGGACACACCGTGCTCCGGCAATGGCACAATTCCAGTGTTAAGAAAACCTAAGTTTAGTGTTTCGGCTATTGTTGCAATCGTTGCTGCTTCATTGATCCTCATTGGTGTTTGTGTGATAACCATTGTGAATATAAAGGTTCGCCGGAGGAGAAGAGACATGGATGAGACAATGGTTGTCGAGAGCACTCCACTGGGCTCAACAGATTCAAATGTCATCATTGGAAAGTTGGTTCTCTTCAGCAAAACTCTGCCCACGAAGTATGAAGATTGGGAGGCTGGCACGAAAGCTTTGCTTGACAAGGAGTGTTTGATTGGTGGTGGGTCGATTGGAACAGTCTACAGAGCTAATTTCGAAGGTGGGGTTTCGATTGCAGTGAAAAAGCTCGAGACTCTAGGAAGAATGAGAAACCAAGATGAATTTGAGCATGAAATCGGGCGGTTAGGAAACCTTCGACACCCTAATCTTGTTGGTTTTGAAGGCTACTACTGGTCCTCTAGTATGCAGCTAATTCTATCCGAATTTGTTCCAAATGGAAATCTCTACAATAATCTACACCGCCTTGACTATCCTGGCACGAGCACTGCAGTTGGCAATAGTGAGTTAAACTGGTCTAGAAGGTTCCGGATTGCTCTAGGCACAGCTCGAGCCCTAGCATACCTTCACCATGATTGTAATCCTCCGGTGCTTCATCTCAACATTAAGTCGACAAACATACTCTTGGATGAAAATTATGACCCTAAATTGTCTGATTATGGGTTGGGGAAGTTACTTCCCCTATTGGATAACTATGGCTTGACCAACTTTCACAATGCAGTTGGATACGTTGCACCGGAGTTGGCTCAAAGTTTGAGACAGAGCGACAAGTGTGATGTTTATAGTTTCGGGGTCATTTTGTTGGAGCTGGTTACTGGAAGGAAACCAGTAGAGAGTCCGGTGGCAAACGAGGTGGTGGTTTTGTGTGAATATGTTAGGGGGCTGATAGAAAGCGGCACCGCGTCGGATTGCTTCGACAGAAGCTTGAGGGGTTTTGTAGAAAATGAACTGATTCAGGTCATGAAGTTGGGATTGATCTGTACTTCTGAGATGCCTTCAAGGAGACCTAGCATGGCTGAGGTAGTTCAGATTCTCGAGTCCATCAGATCTGGATTGGATTGATAGTGATTTTTTGTAGTCTGGCTCTGGTAATGGGATTTGGAGTTAGCAGTGGATAGAAAAGGAATAGGGCTGCAAACAAGACGAGTCGAATTGAGTGGTAAATTTTTAATGATTGACTTATTTACATAACGAGTCAGTTTGAATGAGATTTTAATGAATTAAGTACGAGTGAAGCCCTACTAGTTCGGTTCATTCTGCAGCCCTGAATAGGAGACAAAAATATTCACTTGAAAGAGCAAGAGAACAGCAGAAATATTCTTTTGTATTCATTTTTTAGATTATTTTCACCAATTCTTCATTGTAATTTCTGCAATAAAATTCATTACGTTCTGTATCCCATTTAGAAGCAGAATTTTTTTAATTTATCAATAATTAGGAATCAAATATTTTTCCAGAATAAATCACCTTTCTTTCATGAAATAATGCTCTGCAGTAGTGTCAATTAATTTGCAAAGTAAGCAACAACAGGACTAGGACTAAGGCTATAAACAAGGCTGAGCCGAACTGAGTTTTGGGATGGATGTTAGGAGCTCGGCCCATTCAAACTTAGTCAAGCTCAAGCTCAAACTTTTTCATTTAGCAAACAAGCCGAGCTCAAATTAAAATTGAATGAGCTGAGCTAGTGTGGTTCATGAATAGCTCAATTCACTTGCAGTCCTAAACACAACCAAAAACACCTGCATTTTGAGGGTTTTCCAAGACATCAAGAATTCACATTACACACCTGGAGGTTGATGGCGTGGGTGAAGAAGCCAGAGAGTTATACTTGCCAAAGGTCCAGCAGAATCAGTTATGACAGAGAATCCATATAAAATTTCAACTATCTGTGAATCAATAATATTAATAATTCTGCACAAGAAATTTTGAAATGAATTTCACTAGACATTGTTTCTACTTTCTCGACTGCTTTTGCATTATGACAAATACCTATCTACAATTTCAGAGCCTGAGGTTGGATAGGATTGACATGTTGCAGAACTGAGGAAGAATTCACATACCCATATCATGAATGGTGAAGGAGAACAAATGGCATAAAACCTGAGCCAAACTGCGAGACCAGAACTTCCATCTCCATCTCAGATCTCCTTGTGATGTATATGAGAACTATTTCATGAAGCCATCAAACTTTAAATGCCATAATAAAATCCGGGCTAACTTAATCCACTGCATTAGCAGTATCTGTTACTTCGGATTAAAAGCCAAGGGCCTGCTTCTAACCTACAACTGCGATTTACAGGTTTCAGAAACTTTCCGAATACGTTCCATAACTACAGGAATGTCCTTTTCAGTCAACACGGTAAAACAACACCGGAACCACCCAGGTTCAATACAGTGACATGAAGATCCGGGAGTTATATTAATCTTAGCTACATTCAGCAACTTATCCCAGAGCTCAAGCTCGCCTTTCTCACTGTATGAGCGGATCAGCCCGCTCATGTCAGCCCAACAATAGAAACCACCACTGCTTTTTGTGCATTCTATACCCAGTTGCTTCAACCCAACCACAAACTCAGTATACATCTTTTGAAGCCTTTCTTGATTTGTCTTGATAAATTTCTTGATGAACTTCCTATCGGACAACATCGAGGTAAGTAAAAGTTGGGTTGGAGCTGAGATCGATGAGAATCTCACTAGTCTTTTAGCAGCAGTGAGAACATTCTCATTAAAGGAATAGATAACCCCAACTTGAAAACCTGGAAGAGATAGGTCTTTTGAGAGACCGTAAACTATATGAACTCTGTTTCGATCAAAGACTTCCGAATCAATGATCTCTGCCAAGCTAACAAACTCTTTGCTTCCATGAGTGGACCCTGCCAAAATCTCGTTTGAAATAATGTGGATGTTCTTTTCTGTAGCAAAGTCCATAAGGCTGTAAAGTGTTTCCCGATTGAGCACGTTGCCCACAGGATTTGATGGGTTGGAAATGATAATCCCACGAACTTTTAGACCACGTTTCTTAGCCTGGGTAAATGCTCGATCAAGTGCGGTTGTACTTAAATTGAAATTGTCTGTGCTGCGGCAAGGAACAGGTATGATCTCCACCCCAGTTCGCCATTTGACATCCCTGTCAAGACTGGATATTGTGTTTTTAAGATTCAGTTTCACGACAGAGTAAAATTACTGAAAAGGACTAGTTTTGAAACATGGGTAGGAATTTACTCAGGGTAATATGGCGAGGGAACAAGAAATGCATTTCCTGTATCTGCCAGGCAGAAACTGAGCATCTCAATTGCAGAGGTTGCACCGGCTGTTAATATTATTTGGGACGGGTTGAAGGACACCAATCTTTCTGTGACTTGGGACATGAATCCAGCCACAGCCTGCAAGACTAGTGAAGTTAGTGTCGGGGCAAAAGACTCGAAACAATTCAAATAAATAAAAACAACTCCATGTTTACATACAAGAAAACACAATCCACAGGGCAGAGAATTGAAGGGATAGGGGCTTAGCATACAAGAACACAAGGTAACAATCACAACAACAATTCATTGTTTGTACCAACTAAAAAGCAAACACTAAAACAACACACAAACGAAAAAATGAACTCTTGAGTCTCTGAACATGAACATGAACATAAACAGTCAGCATAACACTATATTCCTAAATAAATGAGAGGATAGTAAATTTGAGTATTTATCCATCTTGAATGAGCCTTTAATATTTTGCAAGTGCCAATGCTTTGATTGCATACCCAGTTTTGAAAAAATTTCTACCAAAAGTTGACCATAATACAAGAGCTTTCAGACAGATTAACCCAACAAATGAAACATCAAGCAACAAATAAGTGCACTTTTGAAGTCAACCAATACACCCATTACAAAATTTTTCAAATCAATTTTCCATCCTCAGATTTGAATGTTATGTCTGGTAGAGATTTTCAAATCATGATTTCAAATCATTTTCAAAACACATTTTGAAAACATGTTTGGTAAACCAAGAAGTTTTTGAATTTTTGGTCTACCCGGATGTCCAGTCGGTTGACCGGAACAATACTTTTTGATTTTTTTTTTTTTTTTTTTTTCAATAGCAAAGCCATTTCAAATGGCGTTGAAAAAAAAAAAAAAAAAAAATTATATTTGTTTTTGATATTTTTTAAATATAGAAATTATTTTTTTAGACCAAAATAACAAATTATTTTTTTGAATTGAATTTTTTTAAAAAAAATTAGCTATAAGTTTTGAATATAATTTTTAATAGAGTTTTGAGTTGTGTGTTTGGTTTAAGTTTTAAAAATTATTTTAAAAACTCATAACCAAACAACTTTTTTTCATTTTATATGTCACATCAAAAATTTAAAATTTTTATCAAAAGTCATTGTTGCTAATTATTTTTCAGAAATTAGCTTGCAATGGTCTGAAAAATGACATGGGTGATAAGACAAATGGAATAGTAACAATCTATCTTATCCAAGTATCACCAATCTTTAAATACATTGGCTACTTAACTTTGCATCATGATCCACTTTATAAATTCAAATTCGAATAAAGCATAATTTACACTTAGTAGGTGTTGGACATACAAAAAAATAAATAAATAAATAAATAAATAAAGAAGAAGAAGAAGAAGTATATATATATTTTTTTTGGTATGTATTTAGTTATTTGGGTCTTATCAATCAACATCTATTGATATTTCCTTTCTACTTTTTTACATATTTTTTTATATATAAAAAGTCAAAAAATTCAATTATTTAAAACATCCTAAACCACCTCTAAGTTTAATATTAAGAGTAATGATTCATCCCCCCTTTTCCCCCCACCCCCTTTGACCCCCTCTCTCTCTCATTGGTTACCTTTTCTTTTTCTTTTTCTTTTTTTTCCTGCTCCACCAATCACCCACTGCCACGTGGCAAAGGGGGTGAGGGGGTGACCCCCAAAAGGGGGTCCCAAGCATTATTCTAATATTAATCGAGGTGGCTTATTTAATATATTTTTATTTTTTTATAAAAAAATGCGTAGAAAAATAAAAGAGCTGATATAACAACTTGTAGCAAATAAGCTGCTTATTTAGCAACTTCCCAAACTCAACCTTAAGTTGTACACAAACTAACTACAATCTTTAATTCATTGATTAATAATTCTAGAAATCTAACATCTAAGCCGAGAAAGAGACCGACTTTCTCTTGGTAAACATATAAAAATGAAAATCATATACCAAGCAAGTTAAAACAATTAAGTTGCAAATGAATTCTAATAATGAAAGACTAGGATTAGATACAAAAACAGAGAAAATTTATGTGAAAATTACCACTTTCAGCTCCATCAATCCATCAAATGGCTGATAAGTTGCAATCCCACTTATATTCAAATCCCCGCCAATAATTGAATCCTTTGCATTCTCTGCTAACCAGTCTTGAACCAAATCCCATGACAACTACAATCACAACAAAAATGAAAACCCATCAATTATTCACACCCAAATCATTCAAAAACAAACCAAACATTTCTAAATAGAGAACGAGAACTACAATAAAATAATAAGAACCCGAACAAACCCATCAATTACTCACACCCAAATCATTCAAAAACTAACCAAACATTTCAAAATAGAGATTTTTATATATACCCACCAAATTTTCAGCCAATCCAAGCTGAATAACACCATCTGGGTTAGTCGAAGAATCATAAGGGTCCTCCGAAACCTTGTCTAATCCGACATAGTACGGACCGTCGATTTGTTTAGCAATAGAATTGGCTCTAGAAGAAACATAAGCTCCTCTCGGGGAGCTAATAGACCGAGAGTGAACCCTATTCAACACATGAGAAACCTCCGCCGCAGACGGAGGAGGAGTGGGTGGCGGAGTGGTGGGTGGGTCAGAGCGGTTTTTGCGCTTGAGGTAGAGTTGGAAGAAGTAGAAGAGAGCGCAAGGTATGATTGACCCTAAAACTAGGCCACCCCTGCCTTGAACTACCCCTTGTAAGGGCACTATGACCCTCATGGCAGTGGTGGCTCCGCCGCCACTGGTGGATGTGGATTCTTCGTCGGATTGGGGGGTTCGGGTCAGGGTCATCGTTGGGTCATGGTTGATCCGCCGGACTTTGTGCTGGTCGACGACGGAGAGTACGAAGGAGCGTTGGAGAAGAGAGTTTTTGAGATGTTGAGTGAGAAGGTGACCAACTCTCTCTCTCTCTCTCTATCTGAGACTTTCTGTCTCCATATCTTCTTTTTTTTCTTTTTTGTTCCCTCAAAATTTTTGGATTTTTGAAGAGAATTTGATGATTTAGCGCCGTTCCTTCTTTTGCGGTAGAGAGATGGGGTTGTGAACTTGTGAGTTTACTATAATACCCTCGGGTTAGTTTTGTTTTTTTTTTGGCGTTAATTGTGGTAATTATGTCTAGGCGGGGTATAATAACGTCAAATCTGTTAAAATTATATTGGTCTACATTAGTTCACATTGCTTTATCCGTTAATCACAATTTAAATTTTAAAATTTATAATATAACTTCAAAATCACTCCACTTTGTTATAACATACATATATATTTTTTAACTTATAATGAAATATCAAAGTAAAAATAAATGTGAGAGAGATTTAATATGTGAAATTTATTACAAATTAATAGTTATATATATGAAAAATATTATGTAAATTAGTATTATATATTATACATAGGCTTGATAATGAGAAATGCTAGGGATCCCAAATATTTTACCAACATTTCTATCAAATGTCTCACATGAGTATAGTCCCACAGCCATATGAGACATTTGACCACACTCATGTGATAGAAATGTTAGTAAAACATTTGGGATCCCTAGTATTACTCCTAGATAATTTGTTAGAATATTCTTCAATTTGATAATTGGTTAGAATATTCTTCATTCAGCCCAAAACTGCTCAAACTGTAATTTGCTAATCCGCCATTCGGTTTATAATTTTACTTTCAAACCGTCTGAACCATACCGCGCACACCTTTAATTATGTTAAGGAGTAGGCTTCTTTGTAGTTCGATATGGAGTAGAGTGTTGTTGGACCCATCACGGAACTCACACGGATGATTTGATCCGTTTAATGTATAAGACTCGTCAATTACTTCATCTTTGCAAAACTTCACGTTGATCAGATCATATGTATCAACAATGATTAATATCTGATCAACGTGAATTTTTCAAATGATAAAATACTCGACAAATGTTATATGTTAATGGTTCAGATTACTGATGTGGGTTCCGTGGTACACCCACATTGGCCTAACAACATCTCTAGTTGGAAAACCCAACTGGAAAAAAGCCTCCCCTTATGTTAATACTTTTCAAATTAATTTTACAAGTAAAATGTCTTGTTTTGATGACTCGCATTTGAATTTATTATGCTAGGTTGTCATGAACTCATGTTGAGTGATACTTCCTAATCCATGATCAGACTAAAGAGATCTAGTTCATTGTAGACTTATTGGACCTATCTGTACAAGCTGAATTGTTCATCCTGAGTAGTTCGATTTTTCTTTTTCTTTTTAGACAGATATGATTCAATCAAATAATTATCGATATCTAATCAAATTGATTTTTTGTATAAATAATGTGATCGATGAACCGTATAACACAAATTATTCGAATTGTCGAGTTGAGCTCGATGTATGCCCACAATGGCCCAAATTAGACCTCTCCAGTCTAATCATAGATTGGATGATCAGATTGGAGAAAAGGAATTCTCTTGCTTTTGTGTGATTTACGAATTTCACAAGGGATAAATAACGAAACAAAAAGAAGAAGAAAAATTTTTTACATAAAGACATTTGTTAACTATATTAAAAAAACATAGGTGGACAAGCAACTTACTATACATATTGACCTTAGGGCCCATTGTGCCCAAGTTAGTATCATCATGAATTCAACGTTGAATGTTCTTTTAAATTCATGCATACTATAGGAGATGATTTATGTTCGGCTACACCATCTGATCAACTTCACTAAAACAAGACACATGATTGAATGACTTTAGATGATTGAAATTTGAGTGAGGGGTTGCGGCAACTAAAAAGAGGTCTAACAAATTATCCGTGTAGCATGTAAGATTACCTATATGATACTTATCATCACTATATATTCACCGCATCAATAGACATGCCATCTCCTAGTAATTGCCAGCTTAAGGATCACAATCCTGCCAAAAACACTCTTGATAGGTCAAATACAGAATACTTTGCACTCACAACTGTGCTCTACTAGATTACAGCAAATATATTGACTTAAGCATCAAAATATCTTTTCAAAATACCCAGACTGATTAGCACTTACTGTTATTGTGAATTTGTGATTGCAAACAATCAAAGTCATTTGACTCCATCCTTCCCAATTTTGTTAAAGCTACACAGAATGTGGCCAGATCTGTCCCCACACATATACTACCAATTTCATATAATTGGCAGTAAGTATTCAGTAGGCATAAGAATACAAAAGGGGTATAATAGGAAATTAGAGACGTGTTTTTAGAAAGAAGTACTTCCACTCAAAATGATTTATCCTTAAAATATAATATAGTCAAGAAACATTGTAGTAATCTAAACTATGCTTACCACCGAGGGTGGTGGCTCAGTAGTGAAAGCATTGCCTTCTCATAGCCAAGAGTCAAGTTCGACTCTTGGGGGGCGTGAAAATCCTGGGATTTTCAAGGGCTCTCTGCGGAGACCTCGCGCTGTACTCCGATCGAAACTTGTCCATGGCTGGGGTGGTTGATGAGCTCCACTGGTGCCTCAATGGTAGGTCCCTTCCTATGGGTTGGGTTAAATCAGGCTGGCAACCGGCTACCCCGGGGCTTGGGCCTACGGAGGTCGTGAGGCCCCCACAGAACCTCCTTTTTTTGTGTTCAAAAAAAAAAAAAAAAATCTAAACTATGCTTTGTATTATTACAAATTCATTTGAAATTCCCAAAGGAATCTTCATATAGGAAACGCAAGAATCTGGCTATCGTTTGGTTATCAAAGTTCTCAGTTGCTTCAAGACAAAATTCCAGCCATGTTCCTTGCTTTGTCCACCGCAACCAATGCAACCATTGCCCCCAAGTGCCAAGCAACATTACCACATAAAAAACTAAACAAACAAAATGGGACCTCCCTTGTACTATTGTTGTATATAGCTCAACAACCTCAAACAAACATTTGCTTCTCATTTGTCTAAACCTTTTAGCTAGGACCATAAGAAATATATATAGATATATATATATATATATTTATAAACATTTTCTCCCCTAAAAAAGTGTATCATTGCATTCATTTTGAATGGATTCACACTTCATCAGAATGAATACAATACTGTACATTCTATTTTATGAATTATTTTTTTGTCTATAGCATTACTATTTAATCGTGTTTGTGTTCTCAAAAACCCCATGAAAACAATCTTTTTCACCTATTTGTTTGAGCAACTTGCCTCCGGTCCTTAATCGGATTGAACGGTGCTGTTCGACCTGTGGGGGCCACAATGGGTCCTATTTTAATAATCCGACCCGTCAATGTATAGAACTCGTCGAGTATTACATATTTGTAAAAAAATCATGCTGATTAGATATTGATAGCTATGTGATTAGTTTTGTAAAAAAAAATAGACGGTGAACAAATTAACGGTTGACAAAAAATTGAAAAAATGAGATAGCTATCGATATCCGATCGACATGATTTTTTACAAGTATATATTAGTCGACGAGTTCTACATATTGAACGGTTCAGATTATCAAAACAAGACCCGTGATGAGCCCCACGGGTGCCAGTCCAATTGAGGATCGAAGGCAAGCTGCTTAAGAAAGTGAAACAATTCAAGTTAATTATGTAGTTGAAATTTGTGCTATGAAATTTTGGCAGTTGAACCTCAAGCCCTCTTTTCATTTTCTTCTATTTTATTTTAAGATTATGTTTGAATTTTAATTTGTACAATAAAAAAATAAAATAAAAATAACTTTACAAATGTAAAACTTGAATCTGAATGATGGACACAACAAGAGCTCAAGCATAACAAAAGGTAAAATTAGTGGTATGTTGACAATAAATTTTAGGACAATTTTCAATCCACAAGCACTACAATAAAAATTCACTTACATGTTTTTTTTTTTTTTTATAATTTTTTTTTATTACCATATCTAGGGATAAGAGTGTCAAGAACGTGGCTATGTTAAGCAAAGGTGATGGATGTGAATGTTTGAGGCTTGAATTTTATTGTTTGGTTGCGTGTGTTAAAACAATGATCCAATTACGAAGACAGCATGTTCTGGCCATTAGCCCACAAACAAAAAGCTTCCATTAATTTCCTTTGGCCTATTATTTTATTTTATTTTAGTATGAATTTTGTTAAGGTGAAATTTAAGCTCATTTAGTTATCGAGAAGACTCAAACTCGTGAACACAGCGAATATAAATTAATGGGTACTCTGGTTAAAAATTTTAAATTGAATTTTTTAAGTCTAAAGGTCCAGGTATTTATTTTCCTTGTCCAAAAAGACAAGCTCATACAAAAAGACCAAACTATCCATGTACAGTAGACAAAGCAAAACAACAAAATCCTCTCTCTCTCTCTTTATTCTGTTTTGATTTATTTGAAAGAGCAAAATAGGTTGAAATCTTATAATTCATTCTATTATAGTTTCATCTATGTTTCTATACTAATCATGCCATTTAGAGGTTCAAAATGAGGCTTAAACCGGTGCACCAGAATAGCAGAACACAAGAGGCCAAAACAGACACAGGGCGGTTAACCGACTGGATACCCGAGCGGTTAACCGGTCAAGCCAATTTTCAGCATTTTTCTTCTATAACTCTAGGTAGGCAAGGAAGACCGGGCGGACGTCCGAGCAGATGGCCAACCAAGGCATTTCGGCCCAGTTTCGTTCCTAATCTGTTTTGTTTCGTTTCAGACGTTAGATGACAGTATGTTCGACGACCCCGGACGACAACCTTGACAACTGGGACTTCACGGGACATTCGAAAAGACATCCGGACAGACATCCACTGTATAGAGAATTCATATATCAGTAACAGATGCTGATTAGAGAAAACAAAGGTTTTTCATTAGATGGCCTATCATTCAATAGGCAAACCACATATGGATGTCAAGGAATATCTGAGCAATGATTTATATATTATCCTCAACCATCACTAACCCATCACTCAATGGGAAGAAGGGAATGGGCTCTATTAGAGCATAATCGAGCACCGCCTCTGTTATATACAAAGCTCTGTGAACGAGAGCAGGCCAAGAGATAGGCATAAAAC